GCAGTGGAGGGAAGGTGTGTGCAGTGGAGGGAAGGTGTGTGCAGTGGAGGGAAGGAAAGTGTGCAGTGGAGGGAAGGTGTGCAGGGAAGGAAGGTGTGCAGGGAAGGAAAGTGTGCAGTGGAGGGAAGGTGTGCAGGGAAGGAAAGTGTGCAGTGGAGGGAAGGTGTGCAGTGGAGGGAAGGTGTGCAGGGAAGGAAAGTGGGCAGTGGAGGGAAGGTGTGCAGTGGAATGAAGAGGGATGGGTCTGCAGCTTTGCTGGTAGAGTCCTTACCAGGCATGAAGCCCTGGCTTCTACCTTTAGCACTGTGTAAACTGGGTATAGATACATGACGAGTTCAAGGCCAGTCATATATGAGACCCTGTCTCAAACAAACAAAACAGGAAAAGAAACCAGCTAACACGTCTTGGTGTGCATTATGTTTGTGCTGGTCTTTCTCTGCTTTGTTGCATGTGTTCTGAGCACAGTGCTATGGCGGTGTCCTTAGGAACTGACACTAGGTGACAAGTACATCTTCCTGCCTACATTATGCCTTTTGGCAGCATAGACCTATTTTCTTCTTTTTGTTCAATAATATATCAGTTTTGGAGTTCCTAATGGCTCTACATTATATAGCTAGCTCTGGAAAGATTATTAGATTTTACCTGCATTCTCTTAAGGGAAGAAGGTAATTGTGGACAGAGTGGCGTACCCTGCTTTCATGTGGGGATATTAAATTGCAAGTGAGAGTGTTTAGCGTTCCCTTCCCTTGCTCTGGAACCACACAGCAGATTCATTTTGTAATTGTCAACAGCCATATTTCTGAGTAAGGAAAACAGATGCCCTAGGGAGTAACTTTGACTTGGTATGAACAAGAAATGTGTCTTCTTGTGGTGAAGCACTTATGTGTGCTGCAGGGTTTGTGACTATGGTGGATCCCAGCTGATCCTGAACCCACACAGAGGCCACTGGCTGTCTGCAGCCCATGTTCTGTAGTCTGTTACTCTTGGTTGTAGATGAAGATAAAGAGACTTGGGCGATAATTTGTTTATTTTCCTACCGACTGAGGAACAGTACCTATTTTCATTCATACCAGGTCTAATCTTTGGAGAGGTGACTTACGATCACTCCCAGAGGCATATACAACCTTATTATAATGACTGGGCCACCTCAGGCAGCATCTCCAGCAATCTTCTCACCTGGAGTCACCACCACGACTTCACTGTGATGCTAACTAGAGGATATTCTCCAGGAAATGGGTTGAGGGGTGAGGGGTGGCTCAGAGTAAAGGTTCTTGCTGTCAAGCCTATTGGCCTGAGTTCAATCCCCAGAACCCACATACTGGAAGGAGAGAACCAACTCTTAAAAAGTTATTCTCTGACCTCTGCATGAAGTCACTCACACAAAATTAATGTAATTTTTGAAAAAGAAAAAAAAAAACACACACAAATTGAGGTTCCCTTGAGCCTGAGACTGCCTTCCGTCCTTATTGCCTGGATATGGTACCGTGGCTAGACCCACGCTGCTGCTGCTGCTGCTTCTCCTACAATGAAGACTTTGAATTCTTTTTTTTTTAAGTGAAGATTTATTGAGATAAAGGGGGTGGGGGAGGGAAGAGAGAAAGAGTAAGGGAGAGAGACATAGAGCAAGAGGGAGAGAGGCACAGAGAAACAGAGGAGGAAGAAGGGGAGAGCTTGTGAATTCCTAACATGTAAGAAGTTGTCTGTTACTCACCTATAGTCTCAGGGCTTGTTGACTGTTAGGAGATGAAGGCCACGAGATGAGGATGAGTTGGGGCCTCCTGCTCAGAATAATTGGAATCCCTTTTCATCTGTCTCTGCCACTGTGAACAGAAGAGAGCATGGTCAGGTCAAATGGGGGAACTGGGAACACAAAGCTGCAAAAGTCCCCATAGGGGCCTGGGGAAGGCAAATCCTATCCTTCTTTTGTCCTTGTGAGTTTTGGACCAAGTTGAAGGGGATACAGAAGGAAATGAAGGCAAAGATTTGATCACTGGCAGGCCGGACTGAGAGAGTGCATGGATGCCAGGTTTTCTAACACTTCCATGTAAGCTGCCAACCAGGCCAATGGCTGCACTGATGCTCAGGGTAGCACAGGCCAGACAGCAGACCACAGAAGATCCTCACTGGACCAGCAGGTCCCCAAAGGCCAGCCAATCAGGGAGTCTAGGGAGATGTTTTTGCTTTGTTGGAAAGCTCCCAGAAGTCTTGTGCACAGGTTGATGTGGAGTGGAGTAGTGTTTGAATGAACCCCACACCCCTTCCATGACTGACAACAGTGTACAGTTTCCTTTTGCTTATCCGCATGCTTGTCCATCAGAAATAAACAGCTAATAAAACAATAGCTTAGACTTTTAATTCTGTCATGCCATGGTGCCTCCTATGACTGTCTCTGGTAGTTAGAGGGGCCCTGCTCATCCACCACCTCCTTGGCTCCATGGTTGTGCCATCATCCCGTGTTGGTGTTTCTGACCGTGCTTACATCGATGAGGCCTGCGTTCCCAGCCCTCCTCCCACCAATATCATCACGTCAGTCTTTGTTTATAGGAGTCTTGCACACCATGGCTTTCATTTGCCAAAGGAAGTGTTCATCGGGGTTCCAGAAATTCAGCAAAAAGATTGGTTACTGAACTTTTGATCACTGTTCACAGGGGCTAAATTACAGGGGGGTTGAGGACACTCTTGCAGTCCACTTGGCATGAACATTTTGGTAAACACATAGGCTAAAGACAGTCATATATACCATAAAACATGCATTAATTTTATTTGGGTCTAGCCATGGGAGAGTCTTGTTTTGTGTTTAACCTCTCAGGCCTTCATCTTGAAGCCTGGCGTGGAAGCTTGGCTAACCTGCCGCAGAACACAGTGAAAGTGATTAAAGGCATTGAAAGAGCTGGCAATGTGTTAGAGACGCTGAGATGACTCACTCTGCAGAAGGAAGGCCGGGTGGGGAAGCCTGTCTTGAGAATATAAAAGCTTAGGAAAAGCCACTGTGAAAGGAAGAGACTCCGGTTGCCGCTGGGGCTGTGCTAACTGTTGATTACACAACCCCACATCCCCTTTGCTGCTGCATGAATGGGGCCATGGAGTGAACGCCAGAGTCATCCTTGCAAGAAGAAACCTTGGGAAACATATCAGTGTATGATTGACACCCACAGTGACATACTGGAGCTTGTTCAGTCTACCGTGTATACAACTTGACTTGAGAACATTCTGTCATGTCAGGGTTCCCTCCTGCCCTTCCTCATCAGATGAAGAGAAAGAGAAATACTGAAGTCTTCACAGCTGACCTAAGCATAGCCCCTGAAGCCAAGGTGTACTGGTCCTTACATAGGGGCTCACAATGGCACCTCACACACTCCCATCACTGCCGGGAGCCTTACTGACTTGATTGCCTTCAAGTCCTGGATTTTATGGAACGTGGTATTAAGTCATGTACTCATCATCTTGATCAGTTTGGCAAGTGTCACATTTATTTTTGCCCTTGAACAGACAGGCTCGTTAGGTGTACCTTCGCCATCTTCACTGTGTTCCTTAACCTCTGGTCGTCTTAGGTGTAAGACGTAGTCTCGCTCCACGGGAACAGGCAGACTCTCAGTAGAGTGCCCTTTGTGCTGCAGCACTATGGTTCTCAGTCCTTAAACTTACTCCCTTGCTCTGCCCAGAGGGTTCCAGCTTTAGGGAAGATGCTTTGAAGACCACTCTTCAGTTCTTTTGAGACAGTCTTGAAGTGTAGCCCAAGCTGGCTTCGAGCTCATAACCAGGCTGGTGTCAAATCCATAGTACTCTTGCCCCAGCCTTGCCAGTATGTGCTGTTTACACTTGGCTTCTGAAAGCCTTTGGGGAGGAGGGGGTGAGGCAAGGTCTCATGTAGTCCACACTTACCTTGAACTTCTGTCTCTACTTTCCAAGTGTTAGTTACATACAATGGGCATATGCCACCATTGTCAGTTTGTAAGAGCTCTTCAGTAGAGCGTATGTAGCTTAAAATACCACAGGACCTTGTTTTCCTGTATAAATACATTTTAGAAACCCCATAGAGGCTAACTAGGTAAGCGACTTCTGCTTGTCGTCCCTAGGTAGGTGTTAAATGTTTACCAGCAGATACTTTTGCTCTCCTTCCCCGTAAGGTGCTGTTGTCAGTACAGGACTTTGACTCCAGTTCAATGTCAGTAACTGTATTCTTGCTGTCACTTTATCCTGGCAGTTTTTATGGATCCCCATTTTTCTAGCCTACTCTCAACCATGTCTCACTGGGGCTAGACGGGGTTCTTGAAGCACCTATCAGCAGATGGTAGAAGGTGAGGCTTATTTACATAGCCGTGTGCACCCCTTGATCACAGGCTTTGGGTGGGTGGAAGATCCTTCATTAATCTAAAGAGGAATTACTGTTGCTACCTGCCCAAATTGAGGCAGGCAAGCACTTAACGAGTCTCCAGTAGTCGTGATGAATCACAGGAGCACCCACAGCAAGAATTATAATCTGCAGTTTAAAGTTGCAGGGGTTTTCCATTGTGTCTGAATCGAGGACATGTTAACAGATAAAAAAAAATAGAATTCTCTTTGATGTTGGTTTCTTTGGATAAGTAAGTTCTCTTGAAGCCTGTGAGTCAGGCCCTAGGAATTTTCTTTTGGCTCCGCCTTTGTCTTTCAGGAAGTAACTAGTCAGATGGTGCTGAGTGGGCTCTGGTCTGTTTCCTTAAAAGGCTGATTTTATTAAATTTATACTGAAAGTGCATTGGAAAGGAATTGGAGATATAGCTCAGTTGGTAGAGTACTTGCCTAGCATACAGGAAGCTCTGGGTTCAATTCCCAGCACCATATAAGTCAGCCATGTGCCAGTAATCACAGCACACAAGTGGTAGAGGCAGGATGGTCAGGAGCTCTGAGGTGAGTCTATGGTGCATGGGACCCTGTCTCAAGTAGCCAAAAGGTATAGTAGAGTAAACACCCTTAGGAAGTGCCTCTTTTTTAACTCAGCAATAGCTTCTGATAAGTTTGGTAAAGGATGCCTAAATTATTTTTTGATAGGATGGCTTATGTGTTTTTGAAAGCTATACCTGTAACTGTCTTTGTCCTACCTCATCTCAAGTCACTTATTGTGGGAGATTCCAGAATAGAATCTTTAATTTGCTTAGAACCAGCTACATAGGGGCTCATACCTGAAGTCCGAGCACTCGAGAGGTAGATGCAGAAGAATCAGGAGTTCAAGGCAGCCTTGGCCACATGAGTTCAAAGTTACCTGGGCTGCATGAGATCTCAAACAATGAAAATTGAATAAATGGCATGGCGATTGCCTTGCTCCCTTTCTAAGAACCGTCAGTTATTTGGGCAGTTGTTCTATGGTAGCATCTGAAAGCACATTGCTGAGGGTAGGTAGAATTTGCTTTAATCTGGGTGGGAGCTTGTTTTCTTGTTCTAAATCTTGCCCCCTTCTCAATGCACCGCACCCCCATTGATTCTACGACAAGGTCTTTTTGCTTCCATGTAGCATGGATTGGAGTCACCAATCTCATCAACAAATATTTTGATCTGTTTTTTTTTTTTTCCACTGCTATCTAAAAGCAGACAGGCAGTACTGATTCACCTCTGCTAATAAGGTTGTTTGAGCCGTCTTCTCAACGCTGGCCTCCTCTCTTCTTATGTGTTGCCCCAGGTATGCTGAAACCTGCAGTCATGTAGAATACCCCTGCCGATTCCAGGATGCTTCTGCTGCCACCCAGGAGATCATTCCTCACCGAGTGTTTGCCCCACTGTGCCTTGAGGGTGCCTGCCAAGAGGCCCTGCTGTGCCTGGTCCCTCCTTGCCTGTCAGCTGCGCACTCTGTCCTGGGAACACACCCTTTCTCCCGGCTGGACATACTCATTGTCCCTGCCAACTTTCCAAGTCTGGGGATGGCCAGGTATGCGTCTCGGCATGGTACATGGAACACACGCTTCAGAAGTCTGGGGACTGCTGGGGGAATGTTTTTCTTAAACTCTGTCAGCAGTTTCGTTTGCTCAGGGTGGAAGGAACAGGTTCCTTGTTCACCCCTGGATCTCTTACTTCTATCTTCAGGAGATGGTTTTCAAGTAGGCCCTCCTCCCCACCCTATTGCAGTGAACTGTAGACATCATGGCTGAGACTGGGCATAGACCGCACTCCAGAGTGATATATGTGGGGTTGCGGTTACTCAGTGGCTGTTAGCGTGGGTGGTGAGAGCTTGCTGCTAATGAGTCCAAGGTCATGGCGTCAGGCTCCGCACACAGTAACAAAACCTGGTCCCAGAGCCACAGCTGCTTGCCTAATCCTGACCAGCTGCCTCATCCATTCTCACCACTGGTCACAAGGCAACAACTTTAGAGCCCTGTGTCAGAACATAAATCCATCCGCACTGCTGGGAAAACAGCTAAAAGCAGATGGCTTGCATGGGGGAGGGGCATACGACATGTTCCTATTTTTAATACAGTAAGTGAAGTATTCTTACCGTGCCCCCATTTCATTCCGACAGAAACTGGAGACTTCCCAGCTGACCCTACCTGCATTAATTCCAGCCACTCCATCAGTCCCCCTGTCCATCCACACAGTGATAGGAGGGTAGCTCTGTCCCATGGGGAAAGATGGCGGGTGGACCACCCTAATCACTAACAGGGACTGTGCTTGACTAGGATGGGAAACGAGCTCAGCAAACATGTGGCTTTGAGTTTTTCCCCATTAGTCAAGGAAATTCCTTCTGCCAATTAATTTCCATGCTTTCAAACAGCTGTCACTTGTGGTGTTCCCCAAAAAACTGCACACATTCTGGGTAAAACCCCTGAGTAGAAAAGAACTGACCAGAACATTTGCTTTTGATCTCTACTGTAGGAACACACACACATGCACACACGTGCACGCACACACACATGCACACTTTTTAAGGGGTGGCTGGCTTGATGTAACCCTTGAGGAGTTCTGAGAAAATCATTTAGACTGATTTTTATCCTGTTTTTATGAAGATAATGGGAATGTGGAAACTAGGATAATTATATATGTTTGGTGGCATGCATCGTATAATTGTCTTGATGTCTATATATAGAGTTTGTCATAACAAGGGGGCTTCTTTGGTCGCTTTGAAGAGTTTTCTGGACTTAATTTAAACAGTTATTGATGAAGAAAGGGTTGTTGATTAAATGCTGTTCATTTGTATATGGTTTTGAGGGGTCATATTTATTTGTGAGGTTTTAGTACTTTATGGATGTTGTTTTCAGGGCATATTTGCTAACAGTCTCATACTCTAGCCTGGGGGAAGCAAAGGCCGAGTATTTTCCAAACACAGAACCTCTCAGTAGCCCCTTCCCGCCACCCAAACTGCCAGACCTAGGATGTGCTGAGCCGCAGGCCATTCTATAAGCTTCTCTCTCCGAGTCTGCATGCCCAAGCAGGCCTGCGGCAAGGCTTCTGCTTTTTAAGATATTTGAAGTGATTTAAACATGTTTTTAATGCTGTATTTTTAAATAAGAAGCCTAAGTGCCTGAAGGCTAAATGGTGCTGGGCACAGGTGTCAGGACTGGAGTGGTGGTAACAACTTAGTAACAACAGGACGGAACTGTGCACAGTTCTCAAATAGCACCCCCCCCACACACACACACGTTATTAGCCAGGAAGTAGCCTGTCCTGGTTAAGCTGTTTCCTTAACTGTTTTCTTTGCTTGTGAACACTGGAAGGGTGATGTGCTGTTGTCTAGCTCTAGTAGGGTGCTGAACCGGGGGTGGGGGGATGGAGGGAGTCTTACATTGCTTTTCCTATGCTTAAGGCCTACTGTGGCAAAATGCAGGTGTGGAGGTCAACTCTGTGCCCCACACAGGATCGGGAAACTCTCAAAACCATGAGGTGCCATCGCGAGAGACCTGTGCACCAAAACTCCCCATGCCCTGGTCAATATATAGTATACAGGGAACCAAAGAACCTCTTGATAAATTAACTGGCTCTTTCCTGATTCCCTGTTTATAAACATGTAGCAGGATCATAAATTCCATAGCTCTGGGCTTCTTTAGCAATTAGGTTTTAATTATAATGAGCGCCGTTTTAGTGTTCCTCTTTGGCAAAAAGCAGTCAGCATTCCCACATGAACAAAAACAGGCAAATCATGAACTGTGTTAAAGGATTTTTTTAAATGTTTGGATGATACACAGTGTTTTAAACGTTATTCTTCGTAGTTTGTGTGAATATGCTCGACTTTCCTCTTGAGCCGAATAGGTGACTTCAGTGAAAGTTTGATAATCAGCTCACAAGAAGGCAGGCGGTGCACCAGCAGTGGCCGGAGCTGGACGTAGACCTAGCGAAAGTGCTCTGGCGCTCTTTAGTAAAGTCTTCTCCGGTTGCACTGTGTTGTTTCTGTCATCCGCTGCTACAGAAGCCATGGCTGCACAGCCAGCCAGCCATCCTCCTGTCCCAGCACTTCTCTTCCTCACTGATCAAGGGGAAGATGCTCTCACTCTGGCCCAGTGGTTCTGAGCCTTCCTAGCGCTGACACTGTGACCCGTTAATACACTTCTCCATGTACTGGTGACCCCCACCATAAAATTGCTTTCGTTGCTACTTTGTAACTGTTGCTTTTGTTACTGTTTTTAAATCATAGTATAAATATCCGATATACAGATGGTCTATGTGTCCCCATGAAAGGATCGTTGGACCCCAAAGGGCCATGACCTGCATGTTGAGAACCACTACTCTAGTCTGAGGAAACTGACTAGTGTGCATTTGGTCATCCATTGCCCTCTGGTTCTCTTTCATTTTACTTCTGCAGGTCTTGAAGTGAGTGCTGTGATGCCCCCATGCAGAGATGAGTGCATTCTGACTGGGTCTCCTTTGTATAAAAGCTCTCCTACTGTGGAGATTAATATTCGGCCATTTTTGTTTTGACCTCATGTATTCTCTTATCTCCAGTCTGACTTCCTCTCGTTGAGAAGTAAGTGCCAAGGGTGCTGTTTGTCACACTTACACTCTTGGTTATAAGAGCAATAGTGTCACAAGTGGACTAATAGCCCGGAACAAGACTTATGAACATTGCTTAAAATGATCACCCCAGACCAACCTCTCTGTGTGTCACAGGTATAGTTACACTGCCAGAACTACCTTGCTAACGTCCAGGTACCCCTTACCCCATATTTGAATTTCAAGAACCCTTCAAATTATCTCAGTGCCAGGGTTTCATTTAGTGCCATCAAAAAGCTTGTTCTCCCTCTCAGCCCCACTGTTCATTTAGTCTTGCGCCTGGAGAATAGGAGATGCAAAGGTAGCATGGCTGACTGAGGTAGCCGGCAGGTTCCACTCCCATCCCTTCTGCTGGCTCCCTCCCCAGGTTGTGCGCAGCTGTCTGCTGGCATGCTGCATTTCTGTCAAGCACATTGTCCGCGTGCAGTACTTAATGCCAAGCCGACAAGGGCAAGTGAGGTTGGTGAGATCTCCATTCTCCTGGGAATGGACATTCTAGTCTGGGAGAAAAGTAGAATGCACAGAAGTGAAGATGTGCGCTCTGGAGAAAGTAAAACCAAGGACACGGAGAGTAGGGTGGGCAGTTCCTTAGGGTAGGCTCAGGTCAACCACGTGAAGACAGGCAGAGACAGTGAGAGGTCATGGATAGCCACAGAGATCAGCTTTGTCTTCGGATCATGAGTGTCGTACGGTCTCATGACCTGCTGGTTAGAGCCAGGGCTTAGCAGCTGCTGTCCTTAAACAGAATCTCCCTTTGGACCTGGCACAGCCCCTGGCAACCAGACCAGAGACTACCCTTGTGCCAGAGGGGAAAGATGACCCCAGTGACCACATCTTCTTTACCTAGTGGCTGTTTTGTGATTTCTCGCTTACATAGCAGACCACAGGGAGGGGAGCTGGGTGTGTAGATATTTGCTCATCTAAGTTTTTAAAGTTTTTTGTCCCCCTTATTGAACAAAAAGAATGTTGACAAAGAGTTTAGAGAAATAATTACTCAAATAGCCTCAATGTTCTTCATCGTGGAAAAACACCATAAAGCCCCTTATTATACGCAACTTGTTCTTAAAAGATTGGGTTGTGCAATAGAAAACCTCTGCATGCTTATCCTAGCTCCTGACTCTGCATGCAGAGTTTTCCTAAGGACCTCAACTGCAGATGGGCACCCTGCACATACATGCCCAGGAATGACGGTAGCCAGTCTGCCCCACCCCTCCCCCTGGAGTTAGACAGGGTGTTGTCTTGTTTGTTCTTATCTCCCAGCCAATGTGTAATAGAATAAGCAGCGCACAGCACACTGCTGCACAGGACCTGTTGTTTCCAACCTTCTGACCGCGTTCCTCGCGGCCAGGGAGGAAGCAGTTATGTTTCTGTCATTATCTTAAGTGGTAAGGTTTCGCAGCTTTGAAAGTCTTTCTTCAATTGTTTTTCTGCTAGTTTACACTTGAATTTTTAATCCGCTAAACTCAAACCACCATACGCTTAAACAGTTCTTTGAGTGCCAAGGGAAGTGCCCACAATGGTTCTTCCCTCAGGAATGGGCCCGAGACAGGCTGGTGCCTGTTCCCTCGCACACCCGCCCACTCTGCCACCATCTCTCATAGGCTGCATGTAGATTTTGTTTTGAATTTGGATTGTTTCTCAAATTTTTAATAAATTTTCACATTTTTTCCTGGGTGGTCTCTTTAAAGACCCAAACATTTGAATGAGCATTCCTGTGCCCCGTGCCTTTTGCACAGGTGGGCGAAGGTGGCAGGCACTCCGGGAAGAGCTCAGCTGTTCTCTGTTCTCTGACATGGCTGTGGAGCTGAGCATTTCTGAGGGTGGCAGGAGGGGTGGCCCCTCCGGAGCTTTTTTGTGTCTTCTTCATTCTGCTGCTGATTTCTGTTCCCACGAAGGAGTTAACTGAGGGCCTTCTCCCAACAGGTTCTATTTTTCATTTTTCTTTCCTAA